GACATGCTGTGGCAGAGCAGGGATGCTCTGCATGACTCCAGCAGTGCAGGCTGACACCCCTTGGTACAGCAGGGATGCTCTGCAGGGCTCCAGCAGTGCAGGCTGACACCCCTTGGTACAGCAGGGATGCTCTGCAGGGCTCCAGCAGTGCATGCTGACACGCTGTGGCAGAGCAGACAGGCCCTGCATGTCCTCAATCCTCGGTGCCACGTTACAGTGGCAGAGCAGGGGTGCTCTGCATGGCACCATCACGGTATGGGCTCCGTGGGCACAGCTCCAGGAGGTTCAGCCCGGGGCTGCTGGCCTGGGGAGCACTCCTGGCTCCCCGCCGGGCTGGTCTGGGGCGATGGTGGGCACCAAGGAGACCTGTGGGGAGCAGCAAGGCGCTGCCTGTGAGCGCTGAGGTGGGACAGACTGGCAGGATAAGGGGCACAGAAGGGAGAAGTTTTCCCTCCAGCCCTCCTGCCTGCCCCCACATCTCCGTGTGCGTGCTCCGGGCCGCGGGGGCTCACGGCGTGGGGATGCTGCGCATCCCTGGGCCTCAGTTTCCCCATCTCTCAGCAGGGACAGCCGTGGGTCAGGCAGGATGGACCCGTGCCGTGACTGCACAACCCCCGTAACCCACTAACCCCCCGTGCATGTCTGCCCTCCCCGGGGCGGGGATGGGGGTGCAGAGAAGGATCCCCACAGGGAGGGGAATGCAGGCGTCAGGATCTGGCTGAGCCCCACGGCTCCTGCTGGGGCTGTTGGCTCTGCCAGCGCCTGGGAGGGCCCGATCCTCCCCCGTGCTGGCCCCATCTAGGAGGGGAAGGGGAGGCTGAGGAGAGCTGGGTCCCTACCGGGGTGCCAAGGCTCCAGGCCCGCGAAGGGGTGAGGTCATCTCTGCGTGCTGCGGAGCCAGGACAGGGCAGTAATATCCCACTTTCTTTCTGCCCACAGAAGGGACAAACTCTTTCCCTGAGGCTGCAGGAAAATACCGAGCCCAAGAGCCCGAGGAGAATCTCCTCCAGGAGATTGTCACAGTGGCAGAAAAGCTGGAGGAGCTGCAGCTGCCCAGAGCGCACGTGGAGATTGAGTCGCGAGGGGCCATTTACGCCGTCCCTTTCTTTGGGGACACTGATGTGGGAAAGCCGAGCCAGTCCCCTGAAGACGCCCTGGGGCCAGGCGCCCGGCATCCCCCACTAGCCACCTCCGTGTCCTCAGGTCACCCCACCTCCGCCTCCCCTTTCCCCACAGCCCCGGCCACCCCCAGGCAGGCGTCCCATTCTCTGGGGAGCTGGGGGACAGTGGGGGACTGTCCCACTGGGTAGGTCCAGCAGCTGGGACACAGAGCAGCCACAGAACGGAGGCACAGGCAGAGGTCAGAGGCCCCTGAGGGTGCCCGGGTCACCCCGGCTGTCCCTGTCCTTCCCCTGGAGGCAGCACCCATGGGGGCTCCAGCGTCTTGCTGTAGGGCTGTGCAGGGGCAAAGGGACATCTGCGTGTCCCAGCCTGTGCTGGAGCAGGGCTTGGCAGCAGCAGGAGCTGCAGAAGGAGCTGGCAGCCGGAGGGACGCGAGGCGAGGAGCGGCGCTGCGGGGCTGAGCGCGGCTCCCACCGCAGCGGAGCCGGGGCTGGGCTCGGCCGCGCCCGGAGCTCCGCGGGGACAGCGCCACACGGGCTCGGGGCCGCTCCCATCGCCCCGCACGCCTTTGTGCGAGCACGATCGGCGGTGCCGGCGGCTGCCCCGTGCTCTGGCCGCTCCGCTCACGGCCTTTCTGCCTTGCCCTTTGCAGAGGAGGCGCAGGGAGCAGCGCCGGGCGGGGGCCCCGGCAGCGCAGCGGCGGAGAGCCCGGGCGGAGGGCGAGACCCCGGCCAGCCCACGGAGCCAGAGGGACCCACGGCTGCCCCAGCAGGTGACACGGAGCCGCCCGAGGGCTTTCCTCGTCCGCCCAGCCCCGTCGCCCCCACGCAGCGCCCAGACCGCCCGCGGGACGCCTCGGGGCGGCCGGCCCGCCCCGCCAGCCCGGGGCCACCTGGGCACCGTGCGACATCGCCAACCAGTGCCACCTCTGCCGCCCCGACAGAGAGCCGAGGAGCCGGCGGGAGCCCCCGCCGCGGGCAGAACTCCGGCGGGGCGAGCACCCCCTTTTCTGCCGCTGAGGACGCCGAACTCTCCGGAGACGCGGTGGAAAGGCCCGGGGCGTCCCCGCTGCCCCCCGCGCCCCGCCAGCCGCAGGACGAGGCAGAGGAGCAGTCGGGAGCCGCGTGGCTCCCCTCGCCCGCCGCCCCGGGGCACCGCAGCGCTGTGCCCGCAGCGACCCCGTGGCACGCAGAGCTCCCCGGCGGCAGCAGCAGCGCCCCGGCCCTGGCAGGAGAGGAGGCAGCGCCGCCGCCGCCGGGCACAGACCGCGGGATGCCCGCTGCAGCTTCCGAGGAGGAGGAGGAGGAGGAGGAGGAAGAGCAACCTGCTCCCTCCATTGCCAGCGTGGAGGGTTTCATTGCAGCCGTTCCTGGAGAAGCAGGTGGGACCCGCAGGGATGGCCTCGGCTCTCCCCGCACTGACACCTCCGGGGGGCTCCTGCCGGGGACCCCCGCGGGGGACCCAGCCCCCAGCACGGCCGTGCCCCTGCCCGCCCTGCCCACCGAGCGGGCCAGCGTCGGGGCGGGCGCCTGCTCGGCCCGGGGTCCCTGCCGTGCCACCCTTGCCCTCGGGGCAGCCGTCCTGGCTGCTCTCTGGCACTAGAGATAGCCAACACCTTTCCTTCACGCTGTGCTTCCCTCTGTCCGTCTGTCTGTCCGTGTCTCCTCTCTCTCTCTCTCTCTCTCTCTCTCCTCCTCAGCTGGGTAAGGGAAGGTTACAGGTCTGGAGAGGCACATATTTGTCAAACAAATTGGTCTGATCTCTGCATGCTCTTAAATCTCTTCTACTTCTGTGAAGTGTTTTAATGACTGTTTCCATGAAAAAGCCAATAAGCAAAAGGCGGACCCAGTCCCTGCTCTGACTAACCGTGGTACTAATAAAGGGAATTAAAAGCTTTGTAGAACAAGCATCTCGGCGAGCTCTTCCCTTCGTCCTTGCGCCCGCTGCCCCTGCGCCTCTCCCACTGACGAACTAATCCCGCGATCCCGGCCCTGCCCGCCCCCGGCAGGGTGGGAGGGACCCCTGCGAGGGCTGCGAGGGCTGGGGCTGCTTTGCACCCTCCACGTGCCCCCCGGGACTGACCCTGCACTGCCCCGGGAGGAGGGGCGAGGGCTGGACGCTGCACGGCAGGAGCAGGGGGAGACACGGGGGACACCGAGGCTCATGGGGTACAGACCCCCACACCCAGGCCACCCTGCCTTGGGGCCCACAGCCCCCAGTGCCGCCCCCCACGGGGGCTGAGCAGAGGGAACACGACCTGCCGTGGGTGGGTGTCACCCACCAGCCCCACCCTGCCCGTCCCGCTGCCAACCCCCCCCTACCTCTGCCCCATCCCGCTCCCTGCAAGGGAATCTGCGGCAGAGGGCACCGTGTGGGGTCCCTGCCCCCCCAGCAAGGTCTGGCAGTGCCCAGCCCGGTCCCACGGCACGGGGGAGGCTCTGTGGAGGGCGGCCAGACCCCGTGGGATGGCGGCCTTTGCCTTGGCAAGGAGAGGTGCCCGGGAAGAGCCAGCCATGGGACATTGGCATCGCTCATCTCGCCCTGCTGGGGCTGAGCTGCACATCCCGAGCGAGCCGCCGGCACCTCGTGGGGAGGTGACGCTCCCTGGGGAGGGGTGAGGGTGGCACATCACCCTCGTCACGTCTCCACAGAGCCAAGGCCCATCAAACGGGGCGTGATGAGGCTGGAGCGGGTCAAGGACTTGGAGTGTGCCCTGGCTGGGGCTGGCAGCAGCCCTTCATCACGCTCGTGATGCGCTGGGAGCACACGCCGTGCTCCGGCTGCATTAATGACCGTAACGGGCTCCTGGGGAAGTGCTGGCTGAGTTATCAGCCTTGGCCAGGCTGGAGGTGACACCAGAGGGACAGGCCTGCAGTCACCTTGCTGCCAGGCCAAGGACACGTGGCTGGGACGTGCCAAAAGCTTTATGGTGGGCACGCTTCCCTCCCGAAACGCTGCGTCCCTCCAGGGGAAAGCAGGAGCTGGCCTGGCCAGAGGGAGCGGGCTGGCACGGTGAAGGGGAGAGAAGAGCCCCCAGCTCTCCTCTCTGTGCTCCAGGGGGAGGCCGAACCCCCAGTCTGGCCAGCTCGGGGCCGGGGCTGCCGAGCTCTTCACAGCCGGTGCTGGAAGGGCAGCGTGGGGCTGCCCCAGGCACCCGAGACCTTCCCCTGCGCCAGGCTGGCGGCCCCAGGAGGCGGCTCAGAGACCGGCGTGCCGTGGGACGCTGCGGGGACGGGGCTGCGGCTCCGAGGATGTCCCTGAGCTCGGCTGCGTGTCCTTGCAGGTGGCTGCGTCCCCAACCCCTGCCTGAACGGAGGGACCTGCGTGGAGGACGGCGCCCAGCTCGCCTGCGTGTGCCTGCCTGGCTACGGAGGCGGCAGCTGTGAAAGACGTGAGTCCCCTGGGTGCCCCCCCGGCCACGCCGCCCGGCTCCTGCTGCCGAACCAGCGGCCCAGGAGGCACAGATTGGGGCAGGCGGGAGGTTGGGGGGAGCTGGGCTCCGCGCTGACCCTCTCCTCTCTCCCGCTGCCCCCCGGCGCCGCTCAGCCCTGCGCAGCTGCAGCCCCGGCTGGGACAGCTTCCAGGGAGCCTGCTACAGGCACTTCTCCACGCGGAGGAGCTGGGAGGACGCAGAGAGCCAGTGCAGGCACCACGGGGGGCACCTGGCCGCCATCCTGACCCCCGAGGAGCAGGACTTCATCAACGGTACGTGCCGGCGCTGCTTCCCTCCTCCTGCGCCCCTCCGGGGGCTGCAGCTCTGGGCTGGGTCTGGAGCAAGGCAGAGCCAGCCCTGCAGGGCTGGATGGACACACGGACACACAGGCCAGAAGATGGATGGGTCATGCAGGGACACGGCAGCAGACAGGTTCAGTCCTTGGAGTGTGTCCAGAGAAGGGAGCAGAGTGGGGAAGGGGCCCTGCAGCACCAGGAGCCCCTCAGGGAGCCGGAGGGGGCTCAGCCTGAAAAAAGGAGGCTCAGGGGGGACCTTCTCACCTTCTACAATCCCCTGACAGGAGGGTGGAGTCGCTTGGGGGAGGGCTCTGCTCCCAGGGAAGAAGGGACAGGACCAGAAGAAGTTGCACCAGGACAGGGTTAGGTTGGATATTGGGAAAATTCCTCCATGGAGAGGGAGGAGGGACTGCCCAGGGGAGCCCCCATGGCTGAAGGGATTTAGGAGACCTGTGGCTGTGGCTCCTGGGGACTGTGGTGCCCTTGGCTCTGGGGATGGGTGGACTCGGTGACCTTGCAGGAAACCAACAAAATCCCACGCAGAGGGTTGGGTGTGTGCACCTAAATGTGAAGGCAGAGCCATAACCTGCCTGAAATGAGCCTCGGAGGGATGGGGGGAAGGCAGAGCGGGGGACAAGCGCCGTGGGAATGGGACAGAGAGCAAAGAGGCCTGGAGGAACACGAGGGTGGAGGAAGAGGGGCAGGGAGAGACCTCACAGGAAGCTGCAGGGACAGGCAGGGACTGGCTGGGCCAGAAAAGGGACTGGTAGAGCCAGCTGGGGACTGATGCAGACAGGTGGGGACTTGTAGGGACAGGAGGGGACAGGCAGGGACTGGCAGGGACACGTGGGGACCTGCAGGGCCAGTTGGGGACCGGCAGAACCAGGTGGGGACAAGCTGGGACAGCAGGGGACCAGCGGGGACACGCTGGGACCTGCAGGGACAGGTGAGAACCGGCAGAGCCAGGCGGGGCCAGGCGGGGACACGCTGGGACCTGCAGGGACAGGTGAGAACCGGCAGGACCAGGCGGGGACAGGCGGGGACACGCTGGGACCTGCAGGGACAGGTGAGAACCGGCAGAGCCAGGCGGGGACAGGCGGGTCCCGGCGGGTCCCGGGGCTCTGCCGCCCTCCCCCGGCCGGCCCTGTCCCACCTCTCCGGGGGGGAGGGCTAAAGGAGTTCCCCGATGTCCCTTTCGGGGGTCCCCCTTGTCCCCAAACCTCCCAGCACCTTCCCGCCGCAGGACCAGGGACACCCCCACCCCCCGCTCCCCCCCAAATCCCGAATCTCCCCGATCTCAGCCGTTCAGCCCCTCCTGGCAGGTGGCACCGGGTGTGTCCCTGTCCCCAACACACCCCGCGTCCCCCAGACCAGTACAGGGAATACCAGTGGATCGGCTTGAACGACCGCACCATCGAGGGGGATTTCCAGTGGTCTGACGGGAGCCCCTTGGTAAGTGCCAAGTCCTGGGTGCCCTCTCAGGGGGACACCACCCCCCTGGCACCCCATTATCCTTCCCCAGCCCGGGGTCCAGCCGGGCTGCGGAGCTCCCAAACAAGAGGCACTCGCCTCACCTGGCTGAGCATCCCCGGGCGAGCCAGACCCGGGATTTGGGGTCCTCCATGCCAAGGGGCAGGGAGATGGCACCTTATTCCTGTGCTGGGATGCCCCGTGCACCCCGTGCCGCCTGTGCCCGCAGCTCTACGAGAACTGGCACCCCGGGCAGCCCGACAGCTACTTCCTCTCGGGGGAGAACTGCGTGGTCATCGTGTGGCACGATGGGGGCCAGTGGAGCGACGTGCCCTGCAACTACCACCTGTCCTACACCTGCAAGATGGGGCTGGGTAAGCCGCCCGAGCCGCTCCCCAGCACCCCCCAGCAGGAAAAGCGCTCCTGCGGGGCTCCCCTCAGCCTGGCCGGGCTTTCCGGGCCATGAGCCGACCCCCCGCGCATCCCCGCAGTGCAGTGCGGGCCCCCTCCCGTCCTGAGCGACGCCCGCGCCTTTGGCAAAGCAAAGCAGCGCTACGAGATCGGCTCCACCGCCCGCTACCGCTGCCGCGCCGGGCTCGCCCCGCGCCGCTCGCCCGTCATCCGCTGCCGGGAGGACGGCACCTGGGAGCCCCCGCAGCTGGCCTGCCGTCCCGGTGAGTGCCGGGCTGCCCCCGAGCCCGCGGAGCTCCCCACGGCGCCTTCCCTTCACCCGGCACTTGTTGTGTCCCGCCAGGCGTGGCTCAGCCCCCCCACAACTGAGCGAGTCCCAGAACCTCCCCGAAGCCCGCATGGGGACAGCGCTGGGACCCCGATGTGGAGGGAAGCCTCGCTGTTGGGTGTGTGCCCCCTTGTTCGTTTTCTACCTGTACAAAGAAACCCTAAAAATTAAAGTCCCCTCTGGAAAGGAGCCGGCGGTGACCCAAAATGCAGCACGGCAGGAGTTTTGTTCCCAGAGTCAGAGCGGAGCTGAAATCCAGGGGCACGGCTCGGGCAGGGGATGGCAGTAACCATCAGCAGCATCTCCCCCAGCCTGGTGTCCTCATCCTGGTGGGGACACGGGGACGTCCAAGCTCTGCTGCTGCTGCAGCCGTGCAGAGCTGGCGGCTCTTCTGCACTTCCCTGGAAAGGCAGAAGCTGCTGCAGCAGGCTTGGAGCGGGTTCGTGCTGCCCAAAGCCCCTCTCCGTGCTTCTGTGGGTATTAAAACCAGTGAAGAGATGGCACGGAGTGGTGACCTGGTTATTCGAGGGGAGCCTGGCACAGGGGTGGCACCGGCAGGGCTGCACAGCCCCAAAGCATGGAGCCTGGCAGCAGTGGGGAGCCTGGGCACAGAAACACCCCCAGGAGCCCCCGAAACAGGGAGACACCACCCAGAGCATCAGGAAGAGGGAGACACCACCCGAAGTGTCCCACACCCAGCAGCACGGGCACAGACACCCCCAGGAGCATCAGAAATAGGTGACAGCACCCAAAGTGTCCCACACCCAGCAGCACGGG